AGCCTCCCCAGCTCCGGGAGGGGAGGGTGGCAGCAGGGAAGCAGAAGCAGCGCGAGCCCTGGTGCCCTCACACCTTCAGGATGGCATACTTGAAGACAGCCATGATGGCAGCGCTGATGAGACCCGAGATGGGGACGGTGACGAACCAGGCCATGAAGATGTTGCGGAAGAGGCGCCAGTCCACCGCCTTCCTGGAGCGCAGCCAGCCCACCGAGACCACGGAGCCCACCTGCCCGAGGAGCCGGGGCACAGCTCAGCATCACAGCAGGATGGGGCACCCAGCGGGCGTCCACCACCCCACAGCCCTTCCCAGGGAAAGCCTCAGCCGTAGGGGCCAAGGGTCTTGCTCCAGCCCTTGGGAACCCAGCAGACCCCAGGCAGAGAGAGGAGGGCAAGGAGCCACCGTCCTGGAGCAGCGATGGGGACAGGGCGCTGCAGCAGCAGCGTCCTCACAGCCACTTGGCAGAGCCCAGGGATCCATCAAAGGGGTTTTGTTCTCCCAACACCTCCTGGAGTGCCCCCTCACTCAGGGACTCCCCTCCCAGCCCTGGGCAGCCACTGCCACCCCACATTGAGATGCAAGTGGCAGAGCTGGGACCTGAAAGCCAGCCAGCAGTCTAGTTTGGGACCTCCCGCACAGCTCAGCCTTCTTAGCACCAGGGTTTGGTGGAAGTGAGCTGGCACCAAGCCAGTGCCAGGATTTGGGAGAAGCTGAGCTCGCACTGAGCCAGTGCCATCCCCTCCTGCCACCCCCACCTACCTTGCAGTGGGTTGTGCTGATGGGGAGGCCAACATTGGAGGCAATCACCACCGTCAGGGCAGACGCCAGCTCAATGCTGAAGCCACTGCAGAGACAGAAAGCGCCTGTGAACCTGGGCACCGGACCCCCTGCACCGCCCCAGCACATCAGGCTTGGCTTAGCCCACGCTAGACCTGGAACTGCTTTCCCCAGGCAGACCCTGCACAGCAGGGTCAGCTCCTCACTTGGCTCTCCAGACCCCCAGCAGCCCCAGACTGACCCCCCCAAGGGACGCAGGGAGGTATTATGGGGCCACACACGCCCCAGCTCCACCACCCAAGCAACGAAACCCCCAAAGAGAGCATGGAGAGGGGCTCCAGGAGCAGGATGCAGACCTAGGACTGCCTGAAGCCACCCCCTGCCCCAAGGCAGACCTTACCTTGATGGTGTGATGGGAGTCAGGTCCTTCCCCATTGTCTGGATGACTCTCCTTCCCCAGACCCACAAGCCAATGCAAATCCCCACACCTCCATAGAGCAGCAGCCAAATGGGAGTTGCCACCTTGGTAGCCACATCACCCGTCTGATAGACCAAGTAGAGTGCGACCAGGGGCCCTATGGCATTGCTGGAAGAGAAAGGAGAGCTGGTCTAGAGGGCCAGAGGCTCTGGGCAAGGTGGGCACCAGCCCTGGCGAGCAACCCCACCACTCCTGCAGACCCAACTGACCTGACATCATTGCCACCATGAGCGAAGGAGCCAAAGCAGGCTGTGAGGATCTGCAGGAACTGGAAGAGGAGGGACACCTCGGGTTTGTCCTGGTCATGCCATTCTTCCAGGGAGCTACTGCTGCCCTTGCGGTCACCAACTCCCATCTCCACCTGGGCCGTGTTCAGATCCACGTCAGCAGCTGGGTGGGCATCTGCCACTGCGTTGCAGTAGCTGGTATAGCTGTCCATGCGGACCCTCTTCTTGGTGTCCGCCACAGGCCAGGTCAGCTTCTCCATCTCCTCCCCCTCCTTGGCACGGAAGGAGTCTAGGGGCATGCCACAGATGGCCATGGTGTAGGAGGTGTAGCTGTTGTTGCGCCGCAAGGGTTTGTCCCCTGAGTCCCCCATGCAGTCCCCCATCTTGGCCAGGTGCAGTTTATGCAGCAGCTCCTTGTAGAGGCCGGAGTCCTTGTGCACGGTGTGGTACTGGTACTGCCCGCTGGAGCTCATCTGGTGGCCCACAGCGTGGTTGAACTGGACAAGGTTGCCGTTGGGCAACCGCACAGCTCCTGACGAGAGTGACAGCAGGGGTTTAGCAACCAGGGGTACCTGGGGTGGAGGGAGACCACCCCGGCACTCCCATATCACTCGCCACCACTCACCACTGTCAATACTGGTTTCCTTCAGGTCAAGACTGGGGACCCTCTCCTGCTCCGGGGCCTCCTCCAGGTCCCCCAGGTTGAAGGAGACCGTCCTCTCCTCCACCGCTGCCCGGTGGGGCACAGCCGACCCCACATCAGCAACGGGGCTCTTGGCATCACCCAGGGGCACTTTGGGCTCCTCGTGGTCCTCCTTCGGGCTGATGTTCTTCTCCATCAAGGGGCTTTCAGAAGGACTGGATTTGATCTCTCCTGTGAAGGGAGGCAGCCACCATCACACCCCTTCCCACCACCACACCCAACACCAGGAGCAAGCCCACACCCCTCACCACTCAGATTTATGGCAGCTAAATAAAAATTTACAGCTTCCCCCCCCATCCTGAACTTTGGAAACTGCTGGGCGGTCGCACCTTGTCCCAGGCACAACAGCCAAACCATCACAAGCCAGCTCACCTCCTATTTTTAGACCCCCCCACCCACACGGGGTGTGGTGAGCACCATTATGGGGCTTTTATGCCCGTTCTTCCTACGGCAGAGGTTCCTCTTTGAGCCATGTTTGTCCCATTCCCAGCAGCCGTGGGATGCTCTGGACCTGCTTCTGGGGTGGCTGCAACCCCTGAAGCCTATGGGAAGGTGCC